AACAACATGGCCGCCGAAGGTGTGCTCTTTCAATATACGATCCTTTTTAGTTTAGCCACCTTTTGCTCCCTAGCGAATGAACCGATCCGTGAACACGACGAAATGATCCGTCACATTGTACTCGAGCCATCCCACGTAGTAAAAAGACGCAGTATTGACCAGCCATTGCGGATTTCACTGGATTTTCTCGACATCAACAAGTTAGAAAATCCGACGATCGTTAAGGATATTTTACGTGAAGCACAAGAGTACTTCAGAAAAACTTTGAAAGTCCGAAAGACAACATCCAAGATTCTTCTTCAAAGAAGTTGTTCTAACAAATCTTTCTTCACGAGAAGCGCCGACGGAAAACGTCCTGGTAACGTTCGATTTTGCCATGAGGCGTGCAACTCTTCTAGAACCTTATGTGGGCCGATTGATATTCCAGAACACGATTTAGATCAGTGTAGAATATGTGATCAAAATGGCCAAAATTGTCAGAACGACACACGTCCAGGTTTTACTGCCGGTGAAGGGCACAACGACACGGATTTTATACTTTACGTGACAGCAGTTGCCGATAGTAATTGCAACAGCATAACAACACTAGCTTATGGTTCTGCTTGCCAACAAGAAAGCGCCTTAGATCGACCAGTTGTGGGATTTATCAACATATGCCCAGGAAAGGTCACCGCAGATGAGCTTAGAACTAGCTACAGTGAGGTACTTGCCACGATAAAACATGAAATATTTCACGCTCTTGGGTTCGCACCATCACTGTATGCCTTTTACCGGAATCAGAATGGAGATCCGCTGACTCCACGATCAAGTAATGGACTACCAACAACAGATGAACGTGTTCTAAAACACTATAAATGGAGCAAAGAGGTAATCCATCATGCATGTCTCTAACATGCTAGTGTAGGGATCTGTCTCATAGGACTCACATACTGCACATATACACTGGGTGAGGTAGCAGCTCTATGTCCGATACCCTTTCTTGGAACAAAAGAGCAAACAATGTACCTAACCCTAAAACAATAACAGCTGCTACACCATGATAACAATCTTACAGGAGCTACTATTCTTCCATATACACTGGTCCAGTGCCCAAAATATAGAACGCTAAGCAGCAGTTGGAAGGTTAGTTACAATGTTTGCTGCACTGGTGGGTTAAAAATTGCAACTGGTTGCTTCATTAGTTGTTTACTCCATGAAATATACCACTTTGCAAGGTTTCTAAGCAGGTTCTCCTGTTTTCTCATCACAGTGCCTGTCGGGGAAACTCTTAGCACCTGCTATCATATGTTCCATAACTAGCGCTGGTTTATCAGTGTGTTGTAGGGGTTTGATTATACAAGGAAACCTCGATATAATGAAGGGCCAAGGGTCTGGCAAAATATGTTCGTTATAACAAGGTTTTTTTATGTCATGGTTCTGTTACATATATATTTTACTATTACTGGGGCAAAGAATACC